GCACCGCGTCATTGTAAACTCGACCCCTGACAGAGAAGCTGGTGTCAAGCCCACACCTCAGGTGACGTAGGTTCACAAAAGCTGCTTTGGCCTTCCCAATCCGGATGGAAACATCATCTTTCGTGAGACCACCGGGACTGATACAGCTGCCCAGGTAAACAAATTTATCTACCACCTCAATCGGTTCATCCGCAAGCATGAGGCTAGGGTTCGAGCCCGCCCACCCAGTCTTGCAGTAGCACTTTACACTTTACAGGTGTGAAGCGCATGCCGAACCGCGAGGCAGAATTATTTAGATTATTTAATATTGTTTGCAGTACCACGGGATCAGATCCCAGAAGAGCTATGTCGTCTGCGTATTCGACGCCTGTGAGCGGGGGCCCAGAGAGCACTTCGACCCCACAGAAATTAGAGGCTGGTAGTGAGTCTTCCATGATCGTATCAGTGACGAAGTTGAAGAGGAAAGGTGAAAGGGGACAGCCCTGTCGGACACCACTGGATGTGGTGAACTCAGGAGAGAGCTTCCCGTAGACCTTTACATGGCCGCGCGAGTTGGCGCATAGCGCCTTAATGAGGCTCAAGAATTTGTGGGGAACACCTTTGTTCCACAGACACTGCCATTGTGCTTGGCGGTCCACAGAGTCAAAGGCAGCTTTCAGATTAAGAAAAACAACCATTGTTGGTTGCTGGAAGCAGTGTCGCTGTTCCAGAATCTGCGGGAGGGTGAATATATGATCGGTGCAACCTCTTGCAGGACGGGACCCAGCTTCGTTTTCACGGACCTCTCTCTTTGTTCAGTCAACCTTCGAAGGATAAGTTGAGAGAGTTCCACACATCTCATTGCTCCACAAAAACGAGGCCCATGGGATTCAAATGAGTCTACGGAGAGAGTTCCACACATCTCATTGCTCCACAAAAACGAGGCCCATGGGATTCAAAATGAGTCTACGCTTGGTCTTCACTTTCCTTTCCAGTAGAAGAGTCAGTTCTGCAACGTTCTCCACTCTCCTATGGCTACATCCTGGGACCGGTCCTTTATCTGATTTATGTCAACAGTCTTCTGGATGTGTTTTCAGATCCATGTCAATGCAAAGCCTCTTGCGGGTAGTACGAAGTCTTTGGGTCCCAACGCCAGCACAATGTGAACGGATATCGACACTGGATGCCATGATCACTGGGTTCGTTTGCATCTCTTTGAAACCTCCCTGAGAGATTTGGCCCTCCTAGGCTCTTTCTGCCAATGACCCAACTTAAGACTGTCGCTGCAGGTTCCACAATTTCCCGATGCAATAGTTTGCGGAAAAGGGTAGATTATGGGTGGTATGGAAGATCAGTTGTGTACTGGTGCCATCCTGGTAACGAAACGATGATTATCTACATGTCATTAGTTGTGATAAATGACAGCGAGCCGTTGCCACGAGTTAGCGTCGATTGTCCGCCTATCAAAACGTCTGCTAGAGAGCGATTGCCAACAATTTTGGATTGAGGGACGCAGTATATTTCAGCAAATGTCTGAGGCATCCACTGTGTTTTGTCAGTTTTTATCTTGTCAACAAACTTGCAACTATGGCTACAAAACTATCGGCTACCCAGGTTGACCATGGATGGACTATTTGGTAAGCAATAAATCTGACGCTCAGCCTTCGGGCGTGATGACGGAATTCATGGGATTCAACGTTACCGCCACCCCAAGCGAGTTTCCGGTAGAAAACAGATCCCGAAAGTTAGTGATGGGTGACACCATTACTGGCTCGGGCGTTACATCTTCAGATTGCTCACTGAAGGTATCAACAATTAAGCAGAGGCTTTACCGATTACTGGGACTAAAGTCATCATTATCATCGCGAAAACTCGCATGATTACCGTCAAGGACTTCTTTGCCGGGACCAAGTCAAAGTCTCGCCAGATTCGGGCCACAAAGAGCTCCGGTATATCTGCCTAATTTTTTCATTCGTACCGGACCAAGGATTCTCACGCCGCCTATCCATGGAAATCCGCTATGAAACTGGGTCAAGAACTGACGGGAAGCCTGGGAAAATATCGATCCGATTACCCAAATAGAGAGAACCTTTGACAGTGAACAATGATGTTCCTCACCGGAAGCCTAATTAAATTCTTCCACCTGACAAATTTTGGCCAGTTTATTTAATAGTACCCGCATGTTGTAACTTGCAGCGCGTGGTAATATCACAAAACGTTAAGAGTCAGTGGCAGTTGAGTTTTACTCACCAAGGCCATAGCAAAATCACGTGACACGGCGACCACTTCTGCCTTGACGGTATCTTCTAGTTCCACCTTATGAAAATCACGTAAGCTCAGAAGCGGTTCTGTCTGTCCAAAATCCTCAACTGGAGCATAAACTATGGGACGGTCGTGCCACACAATCAGGTGTATAGGAAAACCATTGGAACCGGGCGAGACGACATCGGCTTTGAGACATCGCAAGTGTCACTTGACAGTCGCAAAACATGATTTGGAGCTTCTCAATATCGAGGCCACAAGGCAGATACCCTTCTCATATGACCGCAATTACGTTCTGACGCATATCTCGGTAAAATATTAGCACCGACGGAAGATTCTCTGATGAAGTCAGCGCGCGAATCACGAGGGCCCCGATCATGCCTGTTTGTTTCTATTGCTTGTAACGTCAAAAACCATAGAGATAAAACTCGAAGGTTGTGACCCAGACCACAGTCAGGAGTGCGCTAATGTGACTGTAGGGGATGCACTTCCTTGATTCTGGGGCATATCCAAGTTTCGGAGCGCCGATAAAGGAACTAGGTATCGTCGATAAATTTGCGGCGAGGTAATTGGAAGTTGACCGTTTTTGTGCAGCTGTAGAGAACACCCGGAAACTTTATTTGCAAGAGCACCGCTAGATGTCTCTTCCAAGAATTCGTCGGCTATTACTAAATTTCAGGGTAATCTTCCTGGGTCTTCAGAGCGTTTTCCATGTCTACTTCCTCGTCAAAGTGGGTCACCATCCAGAGTTTCCGATCGAAGGCTTAGCATAGGCTCTAACTGGGCGCCAAGCCGAACTGCATAAGTACTATTATCATCAGCATGGCATAGCTCGCGTTTCAGCAATTCGAGGATTCACGGATTGATACATGGAACCGAGGTAGTCGTCCGAATTATCGGACCGATTTTCTCGTCGTTTAGTGGCTGTCGTTCACCTGAGAGGCACAAGCGAAAAAAGGGTGTGGCCTTGCTCCTTAAGTTCTCAGCGCGAATCAGAAAGTTTGCCAGCGCGAGGGCTCCCATAAAAAAGTGTCCAATAGTGCTTTAAACTTGGTTCTGGATGGAGCGTGGACAACCGTCGGAGGGTTATTCCACTATCCAAAATGATGAAAAAAATTGCCTAATGAATGTGTGCGCTCTGAGCTTGAAAGTCCTCTTACCTTGCCCCCGCCGTTTGTTGGAGCAACGGTGACAAACCTTGTTCAAACAGGGCATAAGTAAGAATTAGGTCCCCTCGGAGGCGACGATACTCCAGAGGAAAAAGGTCAAGCACCGCGAGACGCGTTTTGTAGTCCACGGATTTGAGGCAGGCAACCATTTTCGTAGCGGCTCGCTGGGCACGCTCAATAAGGGGGACGTCCTTCGTGAGTCCTGAGTAGACAACTTGGTTGGCGTGTTCAATGAGCGATAGGCTTCATAGAGTATTTGGAAATCCATGCGAGTAATACGGGAGGTGCGCCGAATCATCCGTAAAATGGCGGATGCCTTTTGAGCCGATTTCTCATGGCGCAATGAGGACATGTTTGAAGAGAGCCAGGCCCCCGAATGCTTTTTGGCGTCTATCCTCATGATGTTTCCTGGTCCTTTCTCACCATGCATGACAACGGCGTTCGCTGAGTATCCTGCAAATGGCATACGGGCGCACTTTCCATGATTCGGAGAAAAATGCCAGTTCAACTACCGCTGCTTTGCAGCGTCTACATCCATTTGGATGGCACTGGCACTGGAACTCCAAGATTTCAAGTCGACATTTCAAGATTTCAAGTAGACATGGACTTGCAAGAACCCCTGAAAGGTCGTTGACTTATATTCACGGATTGATACACAGGATCAAGGCTTCTGCCCAAGTTTCCCGGGTCACTTCTGTTCTTATCGGTCGGTGGCTGTCGTTCACCTGAAAGGCACAAGTGAAAAAAGGGTGTAGCACTGCTCTTTATGTACTCAGCGCGGGGTAGTATGTTTGCCAGTGCGAGGATTCGCATAACTGGATGTCTAATAGTGCTTTACACTGAGTTCTAGAAGGAGCGTGGACAACCGTCGGAGGAAGGTCATTCCACGCACCTACTAAATATAAGTGTCGCCCGCCGTCACATCGGCCAACAGAGACCGCGCACTACCGGCAGGCCACCAGAAACAGTAACTCACTCTTCCAAGGAACACCGATACACAAATCCACAGCGACACCAGTGAGTCTCTACAGTTCACTGTATATCATGATTCTGTTTTTCCTGCTGCCATTCATTCGCATTGCTGATCCCCCTCCTTATCGTCCCCACACGTTTTTCGCGACTCTGGCCATCAGCCCAACAGTCCAAGGCCATGTAGCCTCACCGGTGGTTTCATGTTTTAGTTCAAATCGACCGGATGGATTACACCAAGTCTGCTGCTTCAAAAATCCGTCGTTGTGGATCCGCACTTTACCATAATTTGGACTTTTCTTGTCCTATGCCAGGCAGGATGCTTCTTGTTTTGCCCACCCTCGTTTTGTTTTTTCCGCCACCCTAAATTTTAACGGTCTGATGTTGCCTCAGCTCGACATTTTCCCTAAAGGAAAAAACACTTTAGTAACTGTGCTTTTCTGCCCCTTCGGGTTAAGTGATGACCACGTCTACATCAGATAATGCCGATAGTTTATCGCACTGTCTCTTTTCCGCGTAATCACATGTACCCACAAATCTCGCCAGTCATACTTTTAGTCTGACCGTAAAATGATCATGCCTGACGGTATGCCACTCATCAGTCGGAAATAAACGGTATTATCATAACATAATCCTGTCCATTAGAAAGTTCCCACTGTGGTACTTTTACTTCGTCATTTCTTTGAAAGCGTTAAACAGTTTGCGCCAAAGCGCATAATTATTGCCCTGAAGAGGCATAACTGGCCAGCCAACTGACCACCAACCATGATCCAACCATGAATATTAAGGAGTACAGTTTGTATTTGCACGCCGAATGAAT